GATTAAGTAATAAATAATATTAATACAATATTAGGCACCTAATACCTAATACCAATAGACCTTGTTAGGGCATGTGTTCCACATTCACACGTTACCCCACAGGACCTTACCCAAAACCAGGATCCTCCCTCTACAGAATTTGCCTTTTTCTTTGCTAGGATTCTACCTATCCACAACAAAGAGGGGACAACAAAAAATACCCAAGACCAGTTTTGGAGGAACAATGAAGGCATGGAATCCACCCCATGATTGCTTGATGGTTTGGTGGTTTTAAAAAGAGTTGGGTGGTTTTAATGGTTTGGTTTTTGTGTGGTTTTATTGGATCTGAAACTACGTGGGTGTTTTCCTTTGTGAAATGAAATTGGGTTTTGGTTTTCTGTGTGTTCAAAGTTCAAACGAAGGATTTTAGGCTTCTTGATTTGGGTGTTTTGGTGGAAGAAGGTGGAAAGCTTACAATGACATTGCTGTAAAATTTACAGTGTTTGGTTATAGATTTGCTTGAAGCTCAATCCAAGCGGGCGTTTTATCTCTCTGAAAAGCCAAAATCTTTTGCTATTTGCAAATTACAGGAGTTTTTCCTTTTTGCTGGGGTGACAAAGAAACAAGGATTTCTGGTTTGTACATTCTGATTCTTGGGTCCCTCTTAGGCCGAATCTGCATTCTTCCGCAGACTCGACCTGAATCTGACCGAAGGGACCAAATTATAGCATTTTTTCTTCACTTATCTTCGGTACAGTGGGGAAAACTGAAGGCTTTGGTCTCTTCAGCAGAAGCGAAACGACTTAAACCACACTGAATGAATGAGATCATTTCATTTAAATTCGGAAAAGTAATGCTTTGAATAATGAAAACAGTTTATAAAGTCTACACTTAAAATGTAGAATTAAGGTGCACATCTAAAAAATATTGTTTTGATTTTGAAGAAACATCTAATTGATGTCTACATATGAAGAGAAAAAAAAAAAAATTTTCAAGTTTTAAAAATAGTACGTCTTGCAACATATTATTTAGACAGTCCATTTTAAGATTTTCATGTAATTTATAGATCTACTTGATTTGAACTATCTTTTAAGTTCAAAGTTTTATAATTACATATGAAAATATATTCTCATATCATCCTAAGAATTTTCAACACCAAAATTGTATCTCATGACAATGTTTGGAAGTGCACCTTATTTTGATTGTATAATGTTGCAACCTTATGCAAACCACACCCTTGAATAATTGATAGTTCAAAATACTAAATTAGTGTGGTATTTGATTTTTTTTTTGGTGAGTAAAAGGTAAAGTGAGTGGGGATTTAGACCCTTACCCTTTGGTGATGGTAGTTGATATTTTGGCCACGAAGTGGGCCAAATTAATAAAATTATTTGGTCTACATGTCAAAATTTGAATTAATAAATTATAATAAAAATATATATTTCAGGTTCATAGTCTCGAACATGCAAGGGAATTTCGTCTTTTAGTTGAAGCTACTCAAGTCGAGCCAAATGATATACATACACTCATCTTAATGAAAAAATATACGTTGAGATTTGAAACCCAAAACAAGTAAAATCATTTATATGTTTGATTTGGGCTGCTTTTGACCAAAAAGAGTATTTATATTATTTAACTTGGGTTATTTAGGCAAAATTATCAAAAGCCCTTTTTGTTAATAATTCCAAAAAGAGTATTATATTATTTGACTTAAACGGCCCGGGCCGACCAGGATAGAGCTTGTATGCCCGAGCCATTGTCACCCCTTTAATTGGCAAAGCAGTGATGTGCCAAGCGCTAATACGTAACATTGTTATTTGCTCAACCTGCGCCACAATGTACACTTCATACCCGAGCAAAGATTGACGGTCAGGGTTGATGCAAACGTTGGTTTCATCATTAGGACGTGTTTGCTGTTTGCAAATCTAATGGTTAATTTGGCAGTGTGTCAAAGGTTCGCAAGTTTGTCTCTTTCATTGAACCAAACTCACCTTCCCTATAATATAAAATTGCTCCATAATTAACATAAATGTGATATCGGGGATTGTATACAATGAGACTATTTACCTTTGATACAAGGTGGTTACAAGTCTTTACAATCATTTAATGTGAAATAGCTTGGATGTGTCACAAAGTTCGACAAAATTTATTTTGAAGTTTAAGCTTGGTAAATTGAATAATTAGAACCACCCAATTTTACATCCAACGGTTAAGAGTAATGTAACCACCTTGTATCAAACGTAAATGGCTTCATTTTTATACTTTAGCATATCATAAATAGCTCCAAATATTTTTTCTAAAGGATTGAGTTTCTATGAGGCCTAGGCTTTATAAAAAATATAAAAAGTAAAGCCCCACCTCGAATCCTCCTCCGGAAAGCACTTTAAGCATCAGAAATCTCCATAACGGCTCTAAAATCAATTTTTGATACCAACTATAAAATTTGAAAAGAAAACTATGGTATAGATCTTGTAGATCCGTGAACACTTATTTTTACAGCGAATTAAACGGTCTAGTTAGTATGTTACAATATATACTATTTTTAAGGCTTGGAATCTTAAATTTTTTTCACAATTGTAATGATCAATGCTGTGATGATCAATTTGAAGGTTTTTCAATGCTAAAATTGCAATATTCAATAACTTTTGAGGTGAGGCTTTACTTAGGGTTGTGGCCCTATCAAACCATTTTCCTTTTCTAAAACACACACCCCGCCACTGCTTGTCCCTAGAAAAAAAAAACCCACACATGTGCAGAAAAAAAAAAAAAAAGGGAAAAAAGAAGAATAAAGTTTTAACCATTTTTCTTAGTTTGGGTTTGCTACGGTGGGCAAGGGATATGTATCCAAACAGTTCTTGTAGCATGAGGGATGAAGTTCAACTACTGATTGTTTATACAAGTAAAAAATTGCCATAACGAGCCACGATCTAGTTTTATGAGCAACTAACGTAGTACCTCCTACTAAAGTATTGCTTATTAGAAAACCATAAATAAGCAGTCATTATCTAAGTCTCATAGAGGCGATGCTCCATTAAAATTGGATTTGAGGCAAGTATAGCCAATCTAGCAAGACTAATTAATAACTTTAAGTTTTTGAATAATGACCATTTGGATTTGTTTAATGCACAAGGTAGATGTGGACTTCGGCCAGTCATGCCAATCCCAAGCCTGGGAAAAGGGAGAGGATTGTCTTGGGAAGGGCAACCAACGTAAAATATTGTCACATTTTTTCATGAATCTTGAATAGTCTAACTGAGGGGATGATTTTTGATATAGAAAAATGACGAACTAAAATTTATGTACCTGACTTCAAATAGTTGAGATAAGGCTTTTATGATAATGAGATGCTGAGTTCACTACAAAAAATTCATTGATGCAACTACCAAAAATAAAAAAACAAAAATAAAAAATAAAAAATTCATCGATGTTCGATAGAATCCATGACTATGCATGCATCATGCCATATAATGCAGCTAAAATGTAAATAGTTCGAAAGATGTAAGTTTGTGTTTGTCCTTTATACAAACTAAGCTTATCAACAAAAGGGGCATCAATTCTTGATGTAACACTCCTCATGGCAAACTTTTCCTAAAGAAGAAAGCGATGAACTTTTGAGAGAGGGGATGTCTCGAGAGAATGAAGTTCGAAGTGTTAAATTTTTCCCCAAAATTACCATTGTTTTGATACATCGAAAAAGATGAGGGCGCCAGAGTTTGTGTCAATATGTTCTGATGTGGATTGGATGATAAAAAAACCGTTGATCCGGAAATTGTGAAAAGGTTGGAGGATCAGATTGTTGCTTTTCTAGCTTAAGAATAAATCACATGTAATGATGTATTGGAATTTGTTATATACGAGCTTGACAAACTACTATTCAATAACAGTTTTCAACAATAAGACCTCACTTATTGGAAGGACACTTGAGAATGCGAGACTTTGCTTAAAGTTGCAAATGAAAAGAAGCCATCCGTTTTGAGTGTTAGCACAAATAGGTTTTTCGGATATCGATGCCCAATTGATGAGCTCTTTATATTTTCCGATGCGCATGATAGCATCATAGCCTTAATATTTGAGGTATGTGGAAAGGTAATATCATTATAATTATTTTCCAATGTAATTATGATATGATTTTGCATGCCAAACCTAGCATGAATCAATCAAACTCTGCACGACCAGGTTTTGGACAGACCCGACTTATCAAGTCCAATCGTCAGATCTAAAAAATGGATCCATGCCCGTACCTGTTGAGTGCTGGGTCTGGTTGGATATATTACCATCCTATGACCAAGAATCTTTTTTTCTTCTTGCCCCTTTTAGATAGCCATATTTTGGCAATATGGCCACAATCATCCACTATTAGATTTCAATTCGTCTAATTTGTTATTTAATAACTAAAGATGATTACGAGTTCATATTGTATACGATTCTTGATACATCCAAATACATAGAGCGTAGAGTAAAATATTTTATCGTCAACGATCTATATATATATATATATGGGAAATGACCTTGTGAGATCCTTTCACATCTGTGTAGGATTCAAAAGATCACCATTAAATTTAGCACAGATCTTTAGAAAAATCAAAAGAAGATTTTTACTTTATATATATATATAGTAATATTATCCTATGAGACATTTTTATACCTATGTCTAGGACTCAAAAAAATTACTATTAAATTTAATTCAGATATCTAAAAAACATGTTGGATTTAATTTTTCTAAATATCTATACCAAATTTAATAATGATCATTTCGAATCCTACACATATTGATGTAGCAAGGTCTCACAAAGATCATATATATCATAAAAATTAGGATAAATTCTATTTCAAAAATAAATTGTGATGACGCGTGCAATTCTAAGGGTGAGTCCGTGGACTCATAGAAACCGTGCCCCTTGTTCAATCCAACGCTCCCTCCATTAGTTAGTTTAGTTTATAAAGAACTGAAAGGGCATTTTGGTCTTTTCCCCGTAATGAGACCTGCACGCTTCGAACCTACTTTATAAACGCCTACTCCACTCCTCATCAACAGTTGCAGGAAAAAGCAGAGAGGAGAGAGGAGCTCCAAAAATGGCGAAAAAGCCTCCATTTCCTCGAAATACCCTCGCTTTCTTCTTCTCCCTTCTCCTCCTCCACTCCATTGCTGCCACTTCAGACGTCGAATACCAGTCTCTAATGGCGTTCAAATCTTATGCCGACCCATCAAACTCGCTCACCTCATGGACCAATCGAACCTCTATTTGCACATGGTTCGGTATCTCATGCTTGCAAAATCGAGTCACCAAGCTCGTCCTCGAGTCCCAAAGCTTGAAAGGCCGACTGTTGAACATAACTGACTTGACCAACCTTCGAGTCCTGAGTCTTAGCCACAACCAGTTGTACGGACACATACCAGACCTCTCCTCTCTCTCTTCTCTTCGCCTCCTCTTCCTCTCTCACAACAACTTATCGGGCCAAATTCCCGCGCCTTTGCCCACTCTTTTCCGCCTGGATCTCTCCTACAACTCCCTAGGGGGTCAGATTCCGGCGAGTCTAGGCTCTATGACCCAGCTCCTAACCCTGCGCCTCGAGTCCAACCATTTGACCGGTTCGGTCTCAGAGTTCCTTAATCTTACGGTCCTGAAAGACTTCAACGTATCGTATAACCAGCTCTCTGGGAATGTCCCTGAAAATCTTGCCGTCTTTCCGATTACTTCATTTTCCGGCAATCCCAGCCTTTGTGGCAACCCCTTAGCGAGGTGCCCGATCCGAGTGGCTGGCTCCGTGCCGCCCGCTTCAGCGGCTTCCTCTTCTCTGCCAGCTACCATCGTTTCGTCGACTCCCGGCTCGGAGCCAGACGCGTCTGCTCGAACCGCACCGCCAACTCGGCATGGAGCTGGAAGGCTGACCAAAACGGCCGTTATTGCAATAGTCGCCGGCGATCTCGCTGTCGTCCTAATTTTGACCGGCATCTTCTTCTGCCTTTTCTGGCGAAAGATCGCCGGTAAACCGCTCTTCAAGAGAGGCGGCGTTATCGAGGGTGAGAAGATCGTGTACTCGTCGAGCCCGTACGGTTTCCAAGGCGGTTTTGATAGGGGGAAGGTGGTTTTCTTGGAAGGCGAAAACCGCTTTGAAATCGATGATTTACTGAAGGCTTCGGCTGAGATGTTGGGGAAAGGCGGTTTCGGGACAGCGTACAAAGCGGTTTTGGAGGACGGTCAGGTGGTTACAGTGAAGAGGTTAAAAGAGGCTCAGGTTTCGGGGAGAAGAGAGTTTGAAGCTCACATGGACGTTTTGGGGAGGTTAAGGCACCCTAATCTGGTTAGTTTAAGGGCTTATTACTTTGCTAGAGACGAGAAGCTCCTGGTTTATGACTACATGCCCAATGGGAGCTTGTTCTCTCTCCTCCACGGTACGTATAAGAAAATCTGTAGAGAGAAAAACACTTGTTTTACTCTTTTTAAAGTGGTTTCCGACAAGAAAGAGAGTGATGTTCCGTTTACTGGAAGAGAAATTTCAGTGGTTTTCCGTCAGAAGGAAGCCCTAATGTGCGTTTTCGTGGTTCCCCCATTCATGAGTAGAAATCTTGTGTGAAATGGGTTGGAATTTCTGTGTTTTTGCCATTTTTTTCTGAATTTTTTGATATTTTTTTTTCTGTATTTTAGTGACGTTAAAGGGTGTTTTCTGGGAATTTATAGCCGAATACTTTTTCCTAAGTTCAGGGTGGATTTAGCCCATTAATTTGGGTTTTCTTAGTGGAAACAAATTGTATAAGGTTGCAACTTACTGTAGAGTAAGCTGCTATTAAAAATTCCGGATTTCGGAAGTTGTAAACCTTTCAATTAATCATTATATGGGTATAAAAGAAAATATAAATTTTAAATTCTCAAAATAATGTAGCGTGTAATTATTTTCAACATTTTCGAGTATTTATAGATCTATTTGTTTATACCATTTTAAAAAATTTTAAATTTTGTAATTAGCGTTGAATATGGATTTAGGCACCCACATTTTCTTCAAATGTATTATATAATGTGATAATTAGGAATTGCAAAAGGAGAAGAGTTTATATAGAGCCGAGGCTCTAAACAATCAAATTAGAGCCTACCTCAATTTCATTAGAAGTGATTGTTTTGATGGAAAAATACTATCAAATTGATCATCTCGACATCAAGATGCATGGACATGAGAAAAAATTGAAATTCAAGTTTTGGAAATAGTGTATTTTATAATGCATTTTTGTCTTGTCAATTTTCAAGATTTTCAAGTTTTCATATATCTATCCATCTACACTATTTTTTCAGTTTTATAGTTTATAAATAGAGATGAAAAGATATTTTAAGGCTATTACAAAGATTTCCTGTATTGAAACCACATTTCTCGATATTATTTGAAGGTAGGCTCTAATTTGATTGATCAGAGCCTAGGCTCTATACAAACCGCACTCTTGCAAAAGAAATCCAAACATTTGTAGAATTTTAGCTGAATTTGGTAGAATTTCTTCACTATTTCTCGCTAAAATCTGTGGAGTGAGAGATGTAAGAGAGCACTTGTACATCCAGATCATTAACCCTCTCCTTGCAGGTAACCGTGGCCCAGGGCGCACACCCCTTGATTGGACGACCCGGATGAGGATCGCCGCGGGTGCTGCCCGTGGCCTGGCTTTCCTCCACCACCACCGCCCTCGCCTGGCCCACGGCAATGTCAGGTCCACCAATATCCTCCTGGATGCCACCCTCACCCCCCGGCTGTCCGACTTTTGCCTCTTTCCATTTTGCCCCCCAATCCCACCACCCCAAAATCCGCAGAACGCCCATTCCAGTCAATCAGGCCGGGGTTACAAAGCCCCCGAGCTCACTGATCGCCGAAAAGCCTCTCAAAAAGCCGATGTTTATGCCTTCGGTGTCCTCTTATTGGAGATATTGACAGGAAAATGGCCCGAAGAGGACGGTGGGACTCACCTGGTGAGGTGGGTTCAATCAGTTGTGAGAGAGGAGTGGACAGCTGAAGTATTTGATTTGGAATTAATGAGGTATAAGGGTGTGGAGGAGGAGATGGTGGGCCTGCTGCAGGTGGCGTTGGCATGCGCCGCGCACATGCCTGAGCAGCGGCCAAGGATGTCCCACGTGCTGAGGTCGATAGAGGAGATAAGGGGCGAAAGGCAGAGCCCTTCGCACGACTCGTATGATGACTCAGTGATGTCGGACTCGCCTTCAGTGTCGGAGGATGCCGGAGCAACTAGCCAGTAGGAGGGAGTGAGAATGAGGGAGAATTTGGCTTCACACAGTTGAAAAGAGAGAAGTGGGTTGCTTTTTCATTCACTGTTCTAAAGAATTTCACCCACAGATCTGGTGGTTGAAAGCGGTGTTTGTTTGATTGACAGTACAATAGACAGAAAGGGTTTGGTTTCATTCCCAGTTCTAGAGGGAGTGAGAGGTTTGGTTTTTAGGCACAGAGAGATATTTAGTATGCTATGTAAAAGTTTTGGCGTGATTTATTTTTCCAATAGTTCAGAATTTCAGTATGCAACACAAAATTAAAGGATCTCTGTCAATTAACTTATTTGAATTAGAGCCACAATTGGGCTTTTAGTTTGTGATTGCTCCTTTGTCAAAATATATATAGCTAACCACAGGAGATGGTGAAATCAGTGTTGAAAAATTCGTCTAGCCGATCCAGAATCTGCTGAGACAACTCTGATCCAAAGATTATTAGGCTTGCTTTTGCCTGGACTTGATACCCCATATTTTCAAAAGCTAAGGTTTTTTTTTTTTAAATCCATTTTTCAACTCTTTTAGTTCGATTATTGATCAGAGACTATAGTGATTGCCCTTTCGGCTGATTGTAGCGCCAATGGAACTCTATTTGCCGAAAGTTAGTGGTTCAATTTTGGCTTTGGGAAAATTAATCTCAAAGTTTTCCCGCAATTCTGAATTAAATGCTTTGATATTTGTTTGTTTTTTATTTCTCTATGGAACCCTTTTGGGAATTTGTTGGATCAGAATGCAAAAATAAAAGAAATTGAGAATCCAAATTCTCACATATCATCTAAAATCTAGGCTCCAAGATCTTTGATTTCTCCCGTTGTTTTACCAAATTCATTCAAAACTAACTCAAAATATTTCTATCATATTGATTTATAAAGGAAAATTGTTACATGCGGTGGGGGACCACACTTCTACATTTGCAGTCTTGAGGTATAAAGTATCTATGCAAATTGGTGGTCTATCTAAAACAATTGAAACTAACGGGTCCAAATATTATCTTAATAGAATTTTTATTTTAAAATTTTAAAATTTATTTATTCATTCATATTCATGATCTCTATGTGGGAGATTGCATATCCTTAAAAATTAAGTCAAAAAATCCATTTGAAAAGTAGATTTTTAAGAGGTGACTCATTTTTATATGGTCTCATAGAAATCGTGTCCATTTAAAAATGCTTAACAAATTTTTTGAATCATTTTGTTATCTTTTGGTTATTTTTTTTGCTATTTTTTTCCAAAGTGTTATTTTGATATTCTTTTTTTTATGTTAAGTTTTCTCGGTTCGAGATTGTCTATAAAGAAATCATTTATCTTTTGTATATAGAGGTCATAATCATTTCCATGTCTTAGATGTCAATTTGGATGGCTAGAAGTGAAGAACAAGATATTTTTTTTTTAAACTTAGTCTCTACTTAATAATATTTTTAGAATCATCTATTTTAAAATTTAAGAGACAAAAATAATTGCGACCTGTACAAAAGATAATTGATTTTTTTTTGTAATCAATACCTTTTGTTTTTTTTCCTTATTTCTATTTTTTTCTTTAATATTATCCATGTCAGCGGGGCCAATTCAGATCAGCTGGCACCCGGTATGGAGTTCTTCGAGCCGGGGCTTTCAAATAATGTGAAATGACATTATTTTTAGGAAAAGATTTATTGTGTTTGGAGTTTGGACATTTTAGTTTCTCGTAAGAACCCATACCAATATATTGGTGGGTCAACGGGAGTTCACGTAGCCATCTCTTATTCGCTACATGTCTCTCTCTCTCTCGTCCTCTATTCGGTTTGAAAAAAAGAGTAAAGCTTTACATCCAAACTCACAAAAGTTATAATTTTTGTTTATTAAAGTCCTTCAAAATCATCATTTCGGCTTGGACGTGTGAAAGAAAAATAAGATTTTAAGTCTTAAAAAAATAATATATATTATAGCAAATTCTCTTGATCATTCATTTTATTTTAAAAATAAGTATTTATATATCTACAAGATTTGTACTATTTTTTGAACTGTAAATTTTATAGTTAAAATTAAAAATTATTTTTAAAAGCATTATAGATATTTTTGATGCCGATAGAGCTTTCTAGATTAAGATTCGAGACGAGGCTTTAGTTTGTTTTCATAAAGCGCATGCCTTTTAAAAAACCACATCCTTTTGAATTTCTCTACAAATTTCAACTACCCTAGAATTATAAAATCATTCAAGTCATTGCAAATGATTCCCGCTCCCTCTTCTATCTTTTGGGACATTTATGATTGCCTTCCCAATCGTCCACCCTCTGGGCTCTCCCTGTCTTACTGCACCAGTTTCCTGTAGAGGATAAATAAATAATGTTTGGGTAAAAAGTGATGGAGGAAATTAATTTCGGAAAAATTAAAAGAGTGAAAAAAAAGAATTTATTTGGTTTGAAAATTGCTTACATTCACAAGTAGTAGGCATCTATTTCAATTATTAGAAAATTCTAAAACATAATTTCTCTCTACAATATGCACCGAATGACTATGAGAATTCACCATCTTTTTCTCTTTCTTTTTTCATGCTTTTGCTTTCTCTATCTAAAGCAATTTTTATAAAAATATGTTTATGCAGCAAATCTGATGAGACCTTATATGAATCTCCCCAGATTTGTGCACAAAAAGGTTAAAGTAGAGATCGATTGAGATAGTGGAGATATGTCAAATTGCGAGTTTAAAACAGGTTCAGATATATACAGATCTGGGCTCGTTTAGAATCACTAGCAGCGACTGTGGAGTTTTCGAATTAATCTTTAAAATCTAGTTCTAATTTATTAAACTAAAGGAGAATAAACTAAGAAAAATATTTAATAATCAATTTAAGGAAAATAAGAAAAACTTACTAAAAGTCCTAAAATCGGAGTTCGGGCTCATATAAGGACCATGGGTTGTATAAACCTTTATCTCATCTCTTTCACCTCAAAGAGTGGACATGGAAGGGAGTTTTGGAAGCCTAGGAGATCTTGTTCCTATGGTTTTGAATTAAAGAATCTTTATAGAATTTTTTGAACGAAGTTTAGGATGATTTATACTAATTCTAGCCTAGAGTTTTTCTAGATCTAGGGTTTTTTAACCTAAGGGAATACTTCAAGATTTTGTAGGAATTTTTGTAAAATTTTTTAGCGTAGGGAATTTTCCTAATATTTTTTAGGGATTTAGGCTATTTTTCTAAGTTTCTAGGAATTTTTCATGACGTTTTAGGGATTTTCTATGATTTTTAAAGGATTTTAGCTTTATTCTCTATCGAGGGTTTGGGAGGTTTACATAAGCTTGGATCCTACGCTCTCCTAGAAAATATTTCGTAGAGCTCTATTTTTTCTAATTATTTTTTGTAAAAAATCTCATCAAAATTGCCTGGTCCAAGCTTATCCAAGGCGGTCAGATTGCCTCTCAAACCTTTCGGAAGCTTTCTACAAAAATTTGGAGTTTCCTGGGTCTAGAAAAGTCCCACGACTCACCTTTATCATTAGGCCCATTGGGCTGCATGACTCGCCCCGTGTCTGGGACAAAATCGGTCCCTTCTGATCCAGTGAACCTCATTGAATCTGACAGTGGTGATCTAGTCCAACTCCGACACTTGCTGGGATTCATCACTTTTGGATACATTTTGATAATTTTGACATGTCCAAGGCTAATTTAATGGTTTTATAGGGGACTATGGATTATAGTGAGGTGTACTATGGCCAGTGTGATCCGTAAAACTTAGAACTTCATGTTTTTGGGAATTCTTTCGGCCAAAATTTTAGGCAAGGTGTCTACAAGTGAATCCAGAGGCACCAGTGAACAACCCCCCTCTGTGTGTGAGTGTGAGTGTGAGTGTGAGTGTAAATGTGTGTAGAACTGATTTATATGGTTCTCTTAAAAAAAATAGTATAAAAAATCTCTTAAAAAGAAATTAAGAGAGTGAAATACATAAATTTACATTGTTCAACAATTGTCTATATACACAAGGTAACAAATTTTTCTTTCACTAATTAGAAAAAACACCATGGTATGGGAAACACAAGGATTTTCAAACCCTAAAATATGAGCTCACCATATTTTTCTATTTTTTATCACATACATTTAGTATTTTTATTTAAATAAAGGGATGTATGCACTGAAACCATTTACCTTTAATACAAGGTGGTCATAATTACTTACAACCATCGGATGTGAAATTTGATAACTTGGATGACTCACAAAGCTCGAGAAAATTTCTTTTTAAGTTTGAGCATGATCAATGGAATAATTCCAGCCACTCAATTTCATATCCAATGCTCAAGATTAATGTGACCACCTGGTACTAAAAGTAAATTGACTCATTCCATACGATCCCTTAAAGAAATCTTTATAAAAAGAACCCAGAAGAGGAACTAGAGAGGGGGGTAGGGTGGCTCCACCCTTCTCTCGAGAAATTGAATTTGGGAATAGAAAAAAGATGAGCTATTACTATATAAACTGTATGTTGGCTATATTACTGTGAGGTCTTATTTTTTTGGGTTGTTTTTTTTATGTTTTCATTTTTTTTATTTCTATTTTTCCCTTGGTTCAAAAATATTATTTTGAACCACTCAATGTATTTAGGTAGTTCTAGAGTTGGTTTGAAAACCTAACTCTTGAACAACTAGAAACATTTATTTAAGTGATTCGAAAATTCAATTTTCAAACCACTGAAAACAAAAAGTTTTGATACTTTTAAACTACCCAAACAATTTTTTTTAATTGGTTCAGTAGTTAGATTTCCGAACCCCCTAAGTATATTAGTTTTTTACGGTTTGGTTGGTTTTAAAGTTATACTTTCGAATAACCCAAATACATGTTTTAATCGGTTTAAAAGTTAGATTTTTAAACCACCCAAATACAACATTTCTGTTTGCATTTTGGGCAATTCGATAACTGACCTTTCCAAATGACTGAAGACTCAATTTGGTTTTTTCTTTTGCTTTGTATGTTTTAGTTGCTTTGATATTTGGACTTTCAAACCTCGTGAGCACTTTGTGTTTCTTGTGTTTTGGTTGGTTTGAGTGTTGGATTTTTCAACCACTCAAATATATGTTTTAATCAATTTGAAAGTCCAATCAGTTTGAAAGATGGACTTTCGAACTTCCTGAATATGTTTATTTTTTATTATTATTTTTGTTTTGGGCATTTCGAGAGTAAGACATTTGAACCTTGGGTAAAATGAAAATAACAAAACAAACTATAATAAGTAGGACCTCAAGGTAGTATCTATAAGACTGGCAATGGGCCGCCCCTGGGCCTTAGGTTGGCTTGGGTCTCTAGCGAGCCAACCTTATCCAAGTTTTACCTAGATTGGGCTGAAGAGGCCCT